ATATATGTGTGTTCCTACATATGCATATGTATATATATATATGTGCACACACACACACACACACACACACACACACACACACACACACACACACACACACACACACACACACACACACACACACACACACACACACACACAACACACACACACACACACACACACACACACACACACATATATATATATTATATATTATATATATATATATATATATATATATATATATATATATACATACATATATGTACGTATGTGTGTATGTTATTTAATCCAGAAGAGAACTGTATGAAAGATTTATATATCAAAGTTAACAGACACACAAAAAAATCCTTTCGCATTTTCGTTCTACACCATTTGTGTCAATAATTCGTTTTTCTTACAATCTGGTTACCCACATATTTATTTTCTACTTGAATAAAAAAATCTTAGTACTGCATGTCTTTATTATCCGAGCCACAGGGAACGCGAAGATATCTAAAAATATGCTCTTTATTGGTGTAAATGATGTCACAGATAGAAAACATCGTAGACATAGAAATGATAGAAAATAGAAGTTAAGCCATCAATAACTCTTGCTATAACGATCAACTGTTTTTTTTTTTTTTTTAACAATTGTATTTGTGTATGTATATGTATATTTTCCTTGTATTTTGATTTGCACTTAACTATTATCTCCAGAATAATGTATGCGCTTATAGGTAGTTATACGACATGATTATGCTTTTGTGTTAGAAAGTATTTAATAATGTACTACACTTACAGATTGCAATCATGAACAAGAAACTGAATTTTTTGTTAAAGGTGATGGTCGCGAAATAACTTTTTATTTTGTCAATAACTACTCTTTATCAGATGGCGAAGGTAATCATCAGTTAAAATCAATAAGATGAAGAATTTGACAATGTCGCCCCTGGAGCGCCGCCACCGCACAACAAAGCGCGCAAATAACCATGATAAAAATTAAAATTGAACCATAAACGTCTCGAACTTGACAAGAAATCCTCATCAGACGAAAAAATGACAAAAAGATAATGGAGAAAGATATTTGTGTATTACTGGCATCAGTCATTTTGACAAAGTTATTTGTTAATCACAATTTTCAAAGCTCATATGAGAAATCTATTTGATAAACACAATTGTTAAAGCTTTCATGATAAATCTATTTGTTAATCGCTTTTATTAAAGTTCATATGAGAAATTTATTTGATAAACACAATTATCAAATTTTTCATAATAAATATATTTGTTAATCACCATTATCGAAGTTCATATGAGAAATTTATTTGATAAACACTATAATCAAAGCTTTCATAATAGATTTATTTGTTAATCGTTATTATCAAAATTCACATGATAAATCTATTTGATAAACACTATTATCAAAGTTTTCATACTAAATTTATTTGTTACTCATTATTATCAAAGTTCACAAGATAAATTTATTTAACAAACACATCAAAGTTTTCATGATATATATATTTGTTAATCACTATCATCAAAGTTCATATGAGAAATTTACTCGATAAACATTAATATGAAAGTTTTCATGATAAATCTATTTGTTAATAGATATTACCAGTGTCTTCATGATGAAATTATTTGTTAAACATTAATAACATGTACGATCCCGTCTTCCCATGCTTTTCTAGAGCGTATTTTAAGGGGGAGCTAAGTCAAAAGTGGTTATCATTTGTTTTTTTTTATTATTATCAAAGGATGCCAAAGAACAGACTTTGGTAAAATAAAAACGAGCTTGGATATTAGCTTTATTGAAAGGATATAAGGAACCATAATAGCAGATATCATTCGTTACATAAGGGTATATATAAGTATCTGAAATAGAAAGCAGCAAAGCTCCAAGGAATCTGTCAAGTCATCATTGAATTAAAGCGATTTACATATTTTTGTGTTATGGCTTAGCATCTTAGCTCGGTTAAGGTTAAATGCGTGCATTATTTATTTATTAATTAGGAGCATTGTCATTGTTACCGTAGAAGAACATAATGGCATCACTATCATTTTTATAAATCAACATTCAATCAGGCTACTGTTTAAATATTAGAATTAGTTTTATCACCTTTCATTACTATGCATTAGGCAGATCAGCTAAAGCAGCCTAATATCTTGTAATATAACATGCTCCCTTTCTCTCTTCTCTCTCTCTTCCTTCCTCTCTTTATCTGCCTGCCTGTCTCTCTCTCTCTCGTTCTCTCCACATATGTATATATATGCACATATATGCTTATATGGATACTTGTTTATCTATTTTAATCACACACACACTCACACACACACACACACTCACATACACACACATACAGAGTCGAAAATTCCCTCTGCATATTTAGAGGGATTTGATGGGACACCTTTCATTGCGTAGAAAACGCGCTGACCACAGGCTCCAGAAACGCGACCTCCTTCTAGCCGGCGATCATAGTGGAGTCACAGGACCGAACTTTACATCACGACACATTCTTCCTGACTGCTCGTCTGGTTT